TTGGATAAAGTAATACAGTCAGGTGTTTTATTTGATATGAGAATTCCAATAAAGGTAAGTTCTGAAAGACTGTATATTGAGATTGATTATGCTGTATGGTTCGGAGAAGTGGCGTATTTAGCTTTTTGTCTTGGAGGAATATGGTTTTATCCAGTAGTATAACAAATTTGAAGGGGGCTCCCCCTTATACCCCAAAGTTTTCATAAAATATAATAATTTATTAACATTACATAATGCTTTATTATAACAAAATTCAATACCAATTAAAAATAAAATTTCTATTAAAATCTCTATGTAATCACCATGGTGTAGTCATTGAACAACTCTCTATATAATCAATAATCAATAAAATAAATAAATAAATAAAAAATATTTTAAATAGTATGACTATAATTATTTGCAAATTATATACATCCTATGGAGGATTGATCCCCTTGATTCCCTCCCGCAAATACGTCACTGCTTCGAAGTGTTGGGCGGGTGACAGATAAATAGAACAGAAAATTGTGGCAGAGATGAGAATGCTTAGAATGCTTAAATGAATGAGTGGAGCCCCGAGAGAGATTAGGATAAGAAATCAGTAGGTACATAATTATTGGTGGCTTATGTGGTAACTTAAGAGGTAGCTTATGTAGCTTAGTGTGGCTTCGATAGTAGATGAAATGAAAGAAAATAGACTGAGATAGTTTGGGCAGGCCGTGAGGAGAGAGGAATCAGGAACAGTAAGAATTGTAATGGAAATAAACGTAGGAGAAAATAGGGGGAGAGGATAAAACCGGAAAGAGGGTGGTGCGATACGATTGAGAATGAAGACGGAGAGTGTTTGCGAGGACGGTGTGAGGAGTCGGTTCAAGTGGAAGACGAGGGTGGCCGACCCCAAATAGTTGGTATGAATGAGGCGAAGGAGAAAAAGAAGACATAAATTAACAAATTTAAAATGAAATATTAAATTATTTTATGACATACATGATTTGAGTTTCTGATTTGATTTGGTTTGAGTTAATTTTCAAGGCCAAAAAATCGGACGCTAAGTTCCTATTGAGCGAAATTAAAGTGAACACTTTCGCGCGAAAGAGAAAAATCGTACGCGTCTGGACGTGCAGTTTTTCTCACACCGTATTGTTTCGCGGTGAACTTAACGTTAATGGGCAAATTTTTTTTCACCTGTCGATTTAGGCCATTTTTTAAATGGTTTTCTGTGATCAATTGAATAGGTTAGATTCATTGGACACCTAGGCAGAGTAAGATTTTGCTTGTTGTGGGTCCATCGTCATTAGAAAATAAATGAAATTATAAACACTTGAATTAATAGACAATGAAACAATAATATATTATATTTCCTAAGGAAACGCACACTCGCCGATGGAGGGGTAACCGGAGAAAATCCGAAAATTAAGGAAGAGAAATTGGTCTATCTGCACTTGAACCTTTTTTTTTTGGAGGGGGATATCAGTTGAAAAAAAAATGTCCTGCCCTCGATCGACGCTATCCGTCGTACCTATACACGTGGATAGAGTGAGACGAGAAAATTTTTCCCGTCTGGTTAATTTTGGCCATATTATAATATCGTCGACGATTCTCGGCGCGAGAGACGGCTTTTGTTCTTCCACGACCGGAACTCAGGTAATAAATATTACATTTTTTTGTAATTTTTGATCGCGGAGTGCGGAATCGTCGGATTAACGGGCCGAGAAAAACGAAAAACGAACGTGATAATTATAATTCGGGGGATATGGAGAGGGGGTTGAAAACTTTTCGTCGCTCCAGACCGGACGCGTCGGACCGAGATCCCGCAACTCCTCTCCCCCCCCCCCNCCCCCCCCGGACACCGCGGACGACGACGACGGTGTCGAGGATATAATAACGAATTTAAATAATATACATTATATAAATCGTAATGTGCTTAGCGAAAGTATTTACAAACAACCGACGAGCCGGATAATTTCATCACCGCCGTCGACGGAGCGAATGGGGGGCCGCGGTAATGTGCAAATCCGATAATATAAAACTATATTATTATTATTGCAGTATAAGAACCGTAAAGAAGAAAAAAAAAAAACGCCCGACGATCCCCGCGGCCGGATCGACGAATCTAACCGGATGACGACGATAATAATATGATTTTAAGTGATTTAAAATAATAAATATCGACGGGGGAGGCCCGATGCAGTTGTATACACGCGCGTACATTATGCACTTGTATTATACGCGTTTAGTTGATTTAGCGCAGTGCATTACGTGCACCCTATCGTCGGACCCTATGTGAAAATTGACGCGCGTCACGGTGTCGGTTTGACGAGAAAACAAATATTATCGTTTCGGCCGACGAACAATATAATAGCTTGGCTGCAGTGTACGTTAAAAAAATCCTTCGTCCGTCACCGCGACCTCGAAATCGGTGCCGCGTTAAACCGTCCCCGGGCAAACTAAATCATGCCGTCCTTAAAAAAATTACAATTTAAAATTATGTTCACCGGATTATATTACTAATTACATTCAGTGACGTATTAACGGCGACGGCCCAAGGACGTACTAGAACCCCTTAGTGCCTAAAAGATATAATATTTTACTTTTTTATTTGTGTAAGTACTAATGTTACGTAACTACTAGCTTTTTTATATGCTTAGAACGCTCAAAGACAAAACAGTGTTGATAAATCTTCATTAATTATACAATAACCGTCAACATCGATGGTAATCGAGTGTTGTACAATATTTCGTCAATGTTGATAAAAAATCTTCAATAAATTATAAACAAAACAAAGGCTAATTTAATTTCGTTTTTTGAGGCATTTTATTCGTATTCTAAATATTTGATTTTGCTTTACATACGTAAAAACAAAAGTGAAAACAATTTAAAATTATTATTTCGATTACTTTTATAGTAATATTTGTTTTGATTTGATGGTCGCAAACTGGTGCAGGGTTAACAGTTTCCAATCGGTTTGTTTTAAAAGATCATCTTCTGTTTTATTGTTTTAACAATCGCTTATAAAAACATAAATAAATAACAAACATACAAACATATTTTTTCATTTTCATGCTGGCCTCAAAAATTTGCCACCCCGGGGCGATTGCCCCCCGTTAAACGTAGCTTTGCCTGTGAAAATACGGATATGTAGAACCCAGAAATCTATTATTATTATACCGTCACCGAAACTCGTAAAAGATACTTTTGTTTTTGTCTTCTTTTAAAAAGTATATAATCCTACTTATTAACATTATTAACAATGACGGTTTGTAAAGGGTGTATGTTTGCTACCGGTTCTCGGCCAAATTACAGAATGGATTAAGAGGAAACTTCGCACGCCGGTGTAGTTCTAGACCGGAGATAATATACAGGCTACTTCCCTTCCCCCGACTGTATCCGATCTCTAAAGGAGGGTTGATCGTAGGACTTCCAAGTGAGCTGGCGAGGTAAAATTAAGTAAATTAACAAAGTAAGTAATTAATGACTTCGTGTATTCTATTTTTTCACCTCCAATTTATGTAACAGTGGTGCGCCCATTAGCAGTATCAGTATCTCAATTTATTTTTTGTTTCTCTGGGATAATACTTTTCGAATAAGCTTCGTAATAATATTTTTATCTGTGTCTCATGAGTAATATCGCAACAAAGGTACTCCGCACATTCACAATAGTCGTTCTTTGATTGAGTTTGGGACCTATTATAAATTCTATAAAAAAAAAAAATTAAAAAGACGCCCTAGGATAACGGGAATGTGTTCAGCCAATGTTATATATAATTTAATGAACACCGTTAAGCAACAATAAACCATTGTTTACGAAAAAACGATTCTGAGCGGATTTCAGTTGATAGTGACGCTTTGTCAATCATATATATATATATGCCATTTTATAGTAAAATAATTAAATATACTTTATATGTATAAAGTCAGAATCTAAAAACTAAAAATAACTTCTTTATAAATAATGTACAAAACCCTAAAAATTCAACCGAGTGTCGCAATCGTGGAAGTGCGGAATATCTGTTTTGATGCATCATTCTCTACGTAGACAAAGAAAACGAATGTTATAGGTCCCATGTTAGTGACAAGGTCCCGTTATAAATATAATTATAAAGTTATTATAAAAATGACATAACGCGTTAATTTTATATCCCTCACTGATATCGTATTATTTTCGTGTTCAGTGATACACAACGGGTACCTGTTACACTAAAGTGCGCTAAAGTAATCGATCGAAAACTGTAAAACGTCGTTCGGCTTGGCTATCAGTATTTCTTTTATATAGTCGACAATCATGTTTTTCACGGCCCCGTTGATTTTCAAATAGTTTTTGTATTTGGTTCTTATCTCCGACTGAAATAGAAATTCAAAAGCGTCGGTGGCGGAACTACGTCTCGTCTCCGAGCGATAAACCTAGTTCAGTGGCGTGGCGAATGGCTTTTCAATACGCCTCCTAGCTGCGCCGCAGTTGAAATCGTTTCTAGCGATTGTAGGTTTGTAAGAAGAACGCCATTATTAGATATTCGGTATTTGGTGATAATTGAAATGTGTGTATACTATTTAGTAGACTACCTATATTATCCTTTCACCTATTCATCTAATCGACAGATTGGACCATTTGGTTGGAAAATCATATGCAAGTATAGATCGGTAAATTATCAAGCTAGGTTAGGTTAGGTTAGGTTAGGTTAGGGTAGGTAAATGTATATAAATGATTTTCCACTATATTATGGTGCGTAGATCTCTATTATTATTGTTTCGATATCTAAATCGTGAATATCAAACATTTTAAGCCAACGTTACAGATGGCAATAAAATTTGACGCGCTTTTTTTTTTAAAATCACTATAGGTATGCGTTAAGACGATTAAGAGAATTAGGAGTTTCGCTGGGACATATTGTCACACGTGTGAGTTTATAAAATATGAATATCCGTTTGTTTTCCGTCGGTTAAGAACATTTATCCGAGTGAATAAAACAAATCGACAGATAAACTAACTATTAAAACAAATTATAGGGTGGCGGGTATGTATTTTATGAAGGGGTTAGGGTGGGTGCTAAAAGATTTGTTGCACATAGTGCATCGTTGTTCATAAACGTTCGCCGCGCCACTGTTATTGTTACATGCGTGTGCTTACGACTTTGTCCAGGTACATAGACTTGAGACAGATGTCTTGATCCCAATTGTTTTCCAGCAGGGCGTCGGGCATCCAATCGCTGTGAACGCAACCGTCCTGTGTGATCCGCATCGATTTGCTGATTGCCAGTTCCCTGGTAACGCCCACACTTTTCCGTCCCCAAGAATGTTTCAACGTGTAACCGGACCTGGTCAAGACTGTAGTCATCGTATGCTGCAGGTTCCACGGGGCCGATGATTTCTCCTCGACCAAAATCCTTTTTACGATCACCACGGGCACGCACACCTTGTTTATTTCGTATTTTTCCCGTACCGAACATTTCTGTATACGATAATAATATTAGGACTACGACGTAACACGCTGATAAGAATATTATTATATTTTTTCCTCGACATTATACGCTCACGCACGTAAATCGCTTTGCACAGTCTCCCGTTAATGGTGACGGCCGTTTTAGTTTTTATCGAACCCTCGAATCCCTTTATGGCGAGGAAACGTAGATACGCGTAGTTCATGCCCTCGGTGAGTAAACTCTGCGGAAAACGAAAATGCGATATTTTTAGTCGCGTACGCCTATATTTCGGAACGGAAAAATAAACAAATAAAATGTCGTGAGGTCCAACAGAGGACCTTCGCCTCACCGTGATGTACTTCGATTCGATGTTTTTCGATTGATCGACCAGCCCGTCGTCGTTCAGCTCCGTGCAAACGTCCAACGTCTCGCTGCCGCTTTTTTTCGATATCAAAACCATTTTGCGCACCGTTTCGGATTCATTTTCGTGCCTATATATATCCAAGATAGACACGTCGGACGATTAACACGCGATCGTCAGTATACCTAACCCACTAAACATGTTATGTGGCCTAATATTTTTGCTAAAATCTATGTTTTGTGTTTCATACGGGACGTCAAATTGTAATATTACTAAGACCGCTCGAAGAGGTTTTGTTTTAGTCGTTACTATATTACAAACTTATAACATGTTTACAACGTTTAAAAACTTTTTAGGAACATCTTTTTGAAGATACCCGTTGAAACCTATCCGTAGGTTATTTTAGGTAAATTATTACAATCTATAATTATTAGACCTATTATCGTATAATATATTTAATAAAAAAAAAAAAAATGTCTTTTACTTTTTAAAATTATTAGTTTTTATATTTATCTTCATTAATTTAGATTTTACTCGACATTCATACTACCTTGTAGTAACCTTGTATGTAATACATGTATACAGGGCGCCTTAAAAGTTATCCTAAAAGTTGTTTTCTCAATAATTAAGGGACGAAAATAAAAATTCAATGTTTCTCTACATATGTGCCCCCTCGCTCAAAACCCGATTGAAAAAAAATAATAATATTGACAAAATTATTAAAATAAGGATAATACTGTAGGATACCTGTTTATTAAATTAAATTTAGTATCGGTAAATATTGTGGTATAGTACCTACCTATCCATATTCAAGTCTCTGCTCTGTTGCGGTGAGTTGAGGGCCTAGGGAGCTCAAAGGTCTCACACCCTCCGGACTATAGACCACACAACATTTTTTACTCCAACAAATAATAATTACTAGCTTAATGCATATACTGTAATAAAAAATTTTTAAGAAAGAAAAACGGAGCAGAGCGATGAATATATTGATTGTATTATGATATATTTTAGTTTTTTTTTTTTCTGTCTATTGACATACTTTCTCCTAAAAATAGCGTTACCTAACCTTACTTAATCAAAAAATAAGTTACCAATGTTTAAAGGGGTTTACAGATATTAGTAAAACTATATGTGTCCTACCTTCTCAAATTCTCACTTACAATAGTGGTTGCACCAGGTTGCAATACACCCATCCCCCGTAATCACTTTTTTTATTTTTTACTTGGTTGTCTTTTTTCAGGAGACCTCCCCTAAAATTCAACTGCGGATCCACCGCTGATTACAGTTCCACAAATTGTGGATGTCTCTACCAGTACCTCGGGCAATAGTTTATTTTTTTATAAAAATTTGGGGTTGGTGGAAATAATTTTCATACGAGCTTTTGTTTTGTAAAACAATAAAATACACTGAAATAACCAATAGTCAAGAAAACGGGGACTGGGGACAAAATTATTCTCAGTATTATTCTTAGAATAGTATAACTACACTAATAACAATATTTCAACGTTAATGTTATAGAGTGCTGATTGAATTATGAAATATAGTTACAAAAAAAAAAAAAAATATGAATTTAAAATTAGGTTTGTTTGCTCGTTTCTTTTTATTTTCAACCTATAGATACACATTAAACAATCTATGTAACAAAATATTTCAAAATTCAATATTTCCCGCCTTCGCCAAATCTCAAGTACGCCACTATCGAGACAAATACAAATAATTGTGCGCAGACGATCGTCAATAATAATTATCGGACGTTATAAATACCGCTGCGACCATTTTTCCTCGTATGAATCGAAATTCGACGCGGTGTTCGTGATCACGGACGTCTCGGCTTTGTCGCCGTCGTCGGAAACGCTCGTCGCGTGCAAGTTGACCGTTATCGACTTGGTACCGGCGACGTTCGTACCGTACGTTCGTATTTTGCCGACGAATTCGCCCAGTTCTTTCCCGGTATCATCCACGACGCATAACGTTTCGGCGAAACACACGCTCGGAACGCTATCGTCGTCTGAAAATTAGAGTATTACGAAAAACGCGCCGGTCGAGCGATTCCCACGGCCTGACATGACCTGACCGCGGGTCGCGTTCGAGCGTTCCGTACGACGGTAGAAACGTCACTCGAACGGCTCGGAAATCGCGACGTTTCGTAAAAAGTCCAGGTGCGTTCTTTTTTTTTTTTTTTGGGGGGGGGGTGGAGAGGAGAGGGGGAGGGTATCGCTGCTTTCACGACCATCCCGTCATATACATCCAGCTTTCCGTCCATCCCGATCAGTTGCTCGAGCCTTCCAATCTGTTCCTCTTTCCTAGCTCTTTCACGTCCTTCTTTACGACATTTTTCCATCTCATTCTCGGTCTTTTTTCTGTTTGGGTTCTTGTCCCCGCGCGCTTAGTAAATCACCCTGTATTTCCCATTGTCTAGTAAATAAATAAAAACAAATCCGAAATCGTATTTATTTAGCTAAATACTCCTTAGTATACCATCCGAGTTGTGCCTAAGGATGTATTTTACTATTATAATACCAATGGTCAAACTAATTGACGGAGTTTTCCGCTTCGCTTCGTTCGTCGAGGTGGCCAATCGCTGTTGCTTTTGTTCCCGCACGTACGTCAACAAATCGTCCGCGTTTACCGTAAAAATATCCATGGTACTCGCGTTATCAGTTTTATTCTTGGTTTTCCGAGATACAATACAATACGCAGTGGCGTTACGCGAATCCGGCAGAACAAAAAATATTAGAAAATATCGATATGTTGTTGATTTATTGTCGATCGGTTTCTATACGTTTACGTCACGACGATGCGACGAGTCTGCAGTAATTTATAACCAAACCGTTATAAATATTACAATGATATTATGAAAAAAAATCTTAAAAAGCTCGTTGCGCTTCGCACCGTAGATGCATGGTTTGAAATAATGTATTAGACACGGTATAATTTATATGGTGCTACGTTAAAAATCAAAATAAAAAAAAGGAAAATATTATTTTAAACGGTTAACCGATGTTGTATAATAATAACTATTAGAAGTATTTTTACCCCAACACCCATAGGTAACCAAAAAATCAACAAAAATTACGCGTGTGTTTTTTTTGTCTAATCGTTTATACTACGAGTGAGCCAATTTTAAATCTAGAATAATTGTTCAAGTAAAGTACCATCAATCGGATACCTCGACTTTATGCTACCTTGGTACGGTAAATTGTACATTGGAGCAAAGACTAACCAGGAAAACAAAACAGGACAGGGTTCTCGTGTTCAGAAGTGAAATGCTGAGAAAAATCTGGGACTTAAGTGGGATAGGAAACAACGCGAGGATCTTGAACCGCTCGTATTAGTAAACGAATATCGTAGAAGCCATTGCAAAATGAAAATACTACAATAGAAAGACACGATTGGAGAAACCAAAACTCATTACTTCGTACAACAGGTAATAAAAAATAACTTGACACGGAAAAGACCCGTGGTAATAACGAGAAGCTGGGATAAAGATGAGAAGCCAAGAATTATGTGAAAAAAAAAAGATAAAAAAAAAAAGGATCAGATTGGACGGTGCGAATGTACGAGTCAAGTGCCAAATTAACGCAAAACGCGTCTAAAGGCAACGATTTCACCCGTGTCCTAATATTTTCTATTATATTTCTTTAGGCTGCGTGCGAGAAAGCAAGTCGCACATATAATACGAAAACGGGAAAAATATTTAAATATTTTATTCAAAATACATTTTACTCGAAATGCTAACTCAACTAAGCACTTGCCGTGGGTTCGTTAAAATTTCGAAAAAAAGCTTTTAAAACCAAAGACATTTTTTAAAATTCACTCTTTTAACGAGCCCAACGTAATGTTCGTCCCGAATGAATTTTCGAACGTTAAAAGGGTTTTAAACGTTTACGGAGGAATCGTTTCACACGAGCGTTTAAAACACTTAATCGCGTAATCGACGTCGCAAAATATTATTGCGCCTTGGTGGTTTGTTTTTTTTTTTTTCATATCCGTTTCCGATCGTTTTAGTCGCGCGGTGCGCGCGCGCGCGTCACGGTTTGCCGCGAAAACATTTTGGCGCCGTCGTCGTCGCTGCGCGGGGGAGCCGATGGCCACGCGCGGGGAAAAGCGCCAAACTTTCGGGTCGCACACACACTCACGCCCCCGCGCCGCCGACCAGCGCCGTGCTTCCGCCACCTCTCCTCACCCTCCCCTCCACGCTGTTTACTGCCGCCGACGGTTGCAGTGGCCTCCGGCACGTCCGTCACGTTCACGGCGGCGCCCGCGCGCATCGGCCGCGGTTCCGCGAACGCCCGCTTTCACCCTCTGCCGCCCCCCCGCCAACCGTCACGCCGGCGTGCTTTCAACTCGTTTTCTACTCGCGCCCGCGCGCCCGTTCGCACCACCGCCATCATATACAGCGGCCCGCTCCGCCGCCGTCGGCTGCACGGACGCGATACGCACGCGCGTCCCCGCGAATAAATTCTCGCGCGCTAACGCGTTCGACGTCGCGGCGGCGCACGGGGGCGCGGCGGGTGGCGATTCGGGGGTGCCGCGCGAGAGGGTCGCGCCCGGCGACGACGGCGCCGCGTTATCGAATAAACACCGCGGCGCGGCTTAAAATCCGCGCGCGCGATGCGTTTCGCGTGTGCGGGCGTTTTGGCAGCCCGGGCGTGCGTGTGTGAAAACGCCCAGCTGCCGCCCCGCCAACCCGCCGCGGCGATGCGATGCGATGCGACGTGTCTGCGATGATGCGCTGTCACGCGATTGCGGCCCGCCGGAGTCGGCGGAGCGAGACGATTAATAATTAATCGCGAACGCAGGACCGTCGCGACGTTGCGTCGACGGGCGAAACCCGCACACTCCCCACCCATCGCCCCTCTTCCCTCCCCGCCGCCGATAGCGTTTTTTTTTTTTTTTTTTTCGTTCCGGGCGTTTCGCGGAATCGCTCGGATTCCGGAAAAATCGTCGCGCGCAAAAAACGTTTGCAACGTTATCGCACAAAAACTGCCGAAAACCCGCGGAGGACTGCTACGGCCGTCGCGTTTGTCGAATCTTCGCGGGACACCCGGTGTACCGGCAACGCGCACCCGCGGGGACGACGTCGGATCGCGTTGTCTTTTAGATTCCGGTCGGAGCGACGAACATGTTTCGATTTCACAATCGTTCCGGCACCGGCCAAGGTTGTGCGCGGTGTCCCGTCTCGGAACTTGGCACTCGGTTTTTGCATTGGCCGTGAAATTGGCGCACGGGCTATCCGCGACGGTTTTCGGATTTCCAGCGATAAGACGAAATCCGTAACAATACCAGAAAGTATACACTATTCGTATAATATTTGGAATGAATAACTGTATGCCGTATAATGTAACGTAACTGTATTGTAGACTATAAATTGTGATTCGTGAACAATACGGAAAAAGTTTGTAAAACACAAATGGTTTTCAAGTTGTTGTCATCGTCGTCGTAAAGTATTAAATACCCGATTTATGACAGTTAAAGTAGTGTGAAGTGTGAATTTATTTTAGGCTTTTCAGCAGTCATTGTCCATACGACCAGAACGTCGCAAGTCGATCTTTCCGATGAGAAACAATCGATAAAAGTTTTCGGTAGATTACGAATTTTCGGGTTCCGACTACGTGCCTATACTGATATAACTGTACTAACGCAAATGCTGGCGAAACTCGCACATGGCACACGTTGTTGCGCTGTGATGGTAGACGGCAAACGGTGTCAGTGCGAAATATTTTTATGAACGGGACAACAGCATGTTCGTTTGATCTATACCCACCAACACCGAACAATTCGTATTGTAATAACACATTTGAAACTTCACCTACACCTCTAAGCGTAACAAAAATTTTATATTTTGAAAGGAATTTAGTGTTCCCCAGTCGTCATAACAATAATTTATAGAAACAAAAATCCATTTTCAATTAGCGTCTTCTCTAAATCCATTGATTTCATTTATAATTTGGTTTGTTATCAACTATCGGTAATTCTTCGATGCTTAAAATACGATTACACGCCCAAGTACACTCTGTATATTATATTAAGTACTTAGCAGGTGCCTAGAACACAAGAGGTATAAGTGAAATTTTTAAAAAATCTGAGTTAAGAACACGGCTGAACTAAAAACATTCCATTTTCTTGTGCGGCAAAGAAATATGAGAAAATTATTCGCCATGCGCTGGGATCTAGTAACAAATGCTAAATCTCACTAAAATAGTCTTCACAATGGAAATGTCGTGACATATTAGAAGTAAATTGATACAAGGATGCACAACCTCTTTAAATGCACTTATGTATCTTAACTGCCAAGCGTTTAAAACTTGTTTTTATCATTACAAGAACATTGATAATATAACAATTGTATTAAATACAAACAACTTTAAACTTGATTTTCTCGAAATCGAAAAAAAATGTTCCTTGTACCCCTTGTGTACTAGGCACCTCAATTAGGCAATATAATAAACTATACGTCTTGAATGGGAGTACAGAATTTATAACATAACTTTATAATTTTTTTTTTTTTCTAACCGCCTACTGTTAAGACGACCCACCCACCCCGATTTATAAATGGGACACTTGACTCGAACATTTGGCATCACGCCACCACTGGCAGTAAACGCTATTATAGTCGTGATATTTATGGAATAATAGTCTCGTCCGAATGCTCTGACAATTTTTTGCGCGGAGAATAAATATACACATAATGTTATTGTTTGAACTTTGGTCGACTATTGCAGACCGCAATCAAATAAAAAAATAATTTATTTAGCGAGAACATTTTTTAAAACACGACTTTTCGAAATCTGAAACACATCCTTTTACGGTAGAGGTATATACGTATCTACTCGCGTCGCCACGAATTCCGTTTTTATTTTTTCCAGAAATATTGTCGACCGATGACATCGACTTCCGACCCGAAATCGCACTACTTTTCGACCCCTTCGATTACTCCAGGCGCCTTTGACGTGCCAGACCGACACTACCCCAATGTATATTTATATATATACTGTTCAGATTGTATTTCTTAACGAGTACTGGATTTTGAACTGAATTCTCAACGTTCTTATGATATTTTTCGGATCAAAGAGATAATAATAATAATAATAATAACATGACCGTCGAAACGAGCACGCGAAAGATTAGTGTGTGGGATTCGGGTACGGAGAATAAATCGCGTTACGTTGGCGGAAACTGACCGTAATCGACAAAAAACAAAAATAAATAAAAAACAATTCCGATTGTACTGTAGCAAAAAATGTTCTGTTCCGTCTCTTTTAGGAGGTCGTGTAGGAAAATTATGTGACCGCGGGATTTAAAGCGATTCTATACCCGTTTATACATTATCATCGTTCTTCATTGTACTTTTTGTCATAATCGCTGCAGTGCACTTGCTTTTTCGTTTTGCTCAAAGGGACTCTCGAATTTGAACTTTTGACTTTGACAAATGAGTGCAGACAACTCGAGCGAAATATTTCAATGCATATAACCCGTCGAATACAAATTGAAAGGCTCGGTGCACTAAAGAAAAAAATCAAATCCAAAATGAATTTCGAGTAAATCGATAAATGCTACATGCGCAGTAATGATGAAAGGCCGTCTACTAGATACAGAAATCGTGTAAATAAACCGTTGTCAGCACTGTTCACAAACGGAAAA